TATATCAAAAATAATATTGTACAAAAGATGGGATGTAAAACTCATGCAACAACTTTCCCTTTTCCCCTTATGCATGCATATTAATGTAACATCCTTAATTACATAATCATACAGTTTTCTACCTGAAATCTATGTGCTTTAGTACACACAAAGGATTCATGCTGATGGTGAATTGGGGCTGTACATAAAATACTCGGACCACTATTTTCAGGACTCTGACCACTCTTCCCACAGAAACAGTAGGGTGACAGAAAGGCTGGGAAGAAATGAAAGGAAACCCTGGACTGCAAATGAAACTCTTCTGTCTTGTGGTTAAGACTACTGCAGTGTTGCTCTGGGATCTGGATTCTGGCCTTAGCCAGCATCACAGAAGGATTCTGTAACAAGGAAGCTACTTTAGCAAAATCTTTCACAGATAGTACAGGATAAGTAACATTCTCTGCCTCCAGGGGTCAAAACTGACTATTTTATAAGTGCTATAATGCTTCCAACTGCCTCTAAGGTCAGCAAGCATATTGCTTTGAACTTAAACATGTAAAATGCAAATACTTCAAACAAAGCCTTAAAGCACATACCCAATATTCACCAATTTCTTGTTTTTAATCTGTTATAATAAGGAATGATCTTCTTTACCTCCCTCATCTCAGAAATACTGTAAGAATAATTTCTGGTATTAGGGAAGTCATTGGCATAAGACAAGGAAATCAACAGTGCTTTCAGAGCAGGGATTGAATGCGGTGCAAATACAATGTAAACAAGGTGTTGAAGAAACACTGTGCAGCAGTAAGACTTGCTTTGAGTGGTGAGGTACAAAGAGATTTTACTATATTCTTTTTGCAGGCTGGATACTCCACCCCCATGCTTTCCTAAACATGGCTATTCTAATTGTAAGTTACAACAGCTAGAATGCTGCAAAACCAAATCAAATCAAGAAAAATCTGTATCACAATTAAGTTGCTTCTATTGAAATGCTTTCACAGTATGATTTCTGCTTTAATGATTGCATCTTCTGTGACTAAGATTTTCAGAGTTAAAATTAATAACCAGAGCTCCTTGACAATCACTGAAAGATGAAGAAAATTCCTATGATTCCACGATGCAAATCCTCCTTCTGCACACTCAGTGAGGTCCCAATGGAAAACAATTCATGGATTGTGGTGATATGGATAGGAATAAGCCAACAAGGCTGGCTGTCACAACCCCTCTGTGGCTTCATTTCCACATGAAACTTTTAATGACAAGTCAAAAGTGCAGACATCACATTTCTTGGCTTATAAAAAGTCCAAGTCACTCTGCCCACACCACTGCTCTGTGCAGGCTGCAAACGGCCAGTCTGACCACTTGTACCTTCTGACAGATTCAAGCCAGGCTGTTGCTAGCAACTAGGGCAGCTCAGCCTGATCAGCTGCAGCAGCCCAGGCACTGAGCTGCTCCTGACATGGGGAAGCAGTGGCTGTCGGGGCAGCACATCCCTTCTAACAATCACTGCCTCTCTTTTTGACAGAAGGACATGGGGAAGGGCACCAGTGGGATATGAGGGCTGACATCCCCGTGGGCTGTCACATCGACTATAATGACCTACATCTACTCCTCTACCGTTCTTCCCTCTGGCCTCCTGCAGTATCAATGCTGTTCTGTTCCTCTCCACATGGTGCAATTATGAAGAGAGATCACCCTGGTGTATAGTAATGGCCCAACCCATTTATTTTCCACTCTTAGATTGGCAGAGGACAGGAACTTTTCTTTCTTTAAATTGTTAGGTATCAAATACATTGACAAATAAAATGCTAAGAGCAAGACAACTCTGCTGCCATAACTGACACAGTAAAATTTATGTACCACACCATCCACTCCAGGAAGCTTAAGGAATTAGAAGTTTGCCAGAAACAGAAAGGCAGAAGTATGGGTCTAAATTAATTAAAATCAGTAAAATTCATATTAAAGGGACAGTTAGCAGTGGGTTATCATCCTAAGTGTAACACATAAAGCATGGAGACATTCCTGCATAGACGTCTCAGTTTCATTCTGTTCACACTTCAGTCAAGGCCAGCAAGTTACATAGAAGAATGCTTCACTCTCCCACCTTGCAAACTCAGTCTGTTCTGACTTGCAGATGTCTAAACCCTTGCCTTTACCTTCATTTGAGTAATAAAGCCATCCCATCAATTAGTGATGTTTACTGAAGAAAGAAGGACAATACAGAATAGTACTAAATTTCCCCTTGTTCAATCCAAGTTCTCTCCCAAAGAAAGAGTCCATCACATCTTCCTTCAGCTTGCTCACATACTGACTATTTACTAGTAAGAATGAAGACAACTCATCCTGTCACCAGTACAAACCTGGTAAAAGCCAAGGCATCTTCTCAAGCAGTAGCCAAAAGCTGTAGTCTGAGAACTGAAAATTTTGGTAATAGTTTTTTCCTCTGGTTATCTTCATTGTTTTGCTTTGGAACAAAGTTACTTTTTTAAAACTTAGCCAGCCAGCAGAGCAAACATTAGCCCAAAAGGGGAGTAGTTTGCCCAACAAGATTTAAAATTTATTTTATCAATACCTTAATACACTAACAAAATTCAAGAGTTACTTAAGGTGAGTGTTTAAGGCCAGGCGTTTCATCTACTTCCTTTCCAGATAGAACAAGGAAAGTGCATATCTCACATAAAAAAAATTAAACCTAAAAACCAACAAAACAACATCAAAACAATCCCAAAATCCCCAAGAAATTGAAAAATACATACTATAGCTGTGATCAATTAAATTCTGTATTATTCTTAGAGCTGACAGCTTCTGATATGACCCACGCAGATACTACAAGTTTAGTGCTAAGAACCATCCCTATATAGCATAACTGCTGGTAAATTCTTAGGGTTTGATTTGTTGTTCATTTATTTTTGAATAACCTTAACTACTTCCCATGGCCTCTGATGAGTTTGCTCTTGTCGGGACATCCCACACCCCTCCCAGAGGGTGCAGCTTTCTAAACAATTGGCATTCAACAATAGATAACATTGAAGCATTGGCAGGGCAGCTCCAGAGAATGACATACAGTTATGTAAAGCTTGGAACAAAGGCATTCACAGGGATCCCAGGAACTGCATTTTCATATGACTAACCATCACAGAACTTATTTATTGTTATAATAAATGCTGCAGGCACTGAATTCTCCTTAGTTACTTTGGTTCCCTGCAGTAACTCTACTCTTAAATGCACTAAAATACATTCTGAACTAAAAGAGAAAGGGGAACACCAAGTTGTCTTTTCAGATATTTTTATGCATCTCTTATCTGCACACTCCAAGGTGACTGAAATGGAGCTTTCTGAGTCTATCATGTCAAAGTGACATGACTCCCAGTCCAGGCATTTTTCATAAATTTGATAATTCTTCCTTACAGAATTCAGTGTCTTTCACTTGAAAGAGCAGCCAAGAAAGTATTTTATGATTTCACCAAAATACTTCGTTTATCTACCAGCTGAACTTTTTTTTTTTCCACCTTGATTAAATGCACACTCTATATCTCTCTAACACTGCACTAAGCCTTAAACACCCCCTGAAACCCAATGAAGGACTAGTAGCCTCACTGGCAAACACACTCTGTTGTGGTTTTATTTTTAAAAACTGTTTCTAATACTAAAAAATAATTCCTTTTAGACTAAATTAACATTCTTCTGGATGCTTCTGATTCAAGTGATGAAGGCATGATGAAGCCTTCCCAGGAAAAGTTTTGAAGGACTTTCATGTTGCAGGCCCCCAGTGAGTTTAAACCAGCTCATTAGCACCAGACAACGGGACAGACAGGACAGCAAAGCCCTCAGCACAGGCTGCAATGGGTGGTGAGAGCCAGGGTGAATACTGGGACACCAAAGCAACTAGAAAAAATAAATCTATGTCCATTGAAAAGTCTGCCACTGATATATTATTCTGGAAGAAATTTCAAAATTTGAAAGTTTTAGGCAAACTATTTTGATCTTACTGATGTTAAAAATGAAAGAAACATAAACCAGGATTGTACACAGCATTTAATGCAGAATTAGTAATGAAAGGTCACTCTTCCTACAGAAGATTTGTGAAATACACAAGGAAGCAAAACCAACAAGGAGATTTTGAAGTGCGTTTGTAATAATCCACTCAATTTGGGTTCTTGATATGATTAACCTGTTCCAAATGTTAGATTGTTGTGCTTAATTATCCAGGGATTTAAATACTTTACTGAACCACAACTCAGAAGTAAAAAAACTCTGCAGCTGCTTTATGAGAAATTCTATTCTGAACTCATTCAAGGGATGATCTTCCTTCATGGTAATAATTTCTCTAGTTTCCATACAAACTATGACTATGTTTTGAGGAAAGTTTTAATTCTATAAACCGCATTTCAATTTGTTTCTCTAAATGTCTTGCATTATATCTTATATGATAGCAATTCTCTGCATGGAACAGAGGAAGGGAGAAAACCCAACAATCAGTTACAGGAAGTTATTAGGAAGTTCCCTTAATTTTATAAACGATACCTTGGATGTAAGGTCACGGTGGAAAATGCCTTTATAGTGAAGATAACTGATTCCCATAGCAATGTCATACGCCAGTTTCACCCTCACTGTCCAGGGCAGATGCTGGTTGCCATCTAGTAGCTGTTCCAGGTTACCACAATTGATGTACTGAAAAGACAAAGCAACATTTAAAATTAATTATTTAGTTTAATGTTTTGTCATGAATGTAAAATTCATGATTACAACAAGTGACCTCAGCCCAGTTACACATTAAAATCTTTTTTTCATATCAGCTCATCAGGCACAAAGTTTGAAGATCAAGAAAAGCTGAAAATGTCTCCCTTCACCACCTGTACCACAAGTCACCTCCTGAACAGGCTGCAAGAAACACCTTCGTCCTTACAGCTCGGGTCCACCCGTTGCTGATCTCACCAGTGAATTCTGAAAACCCTTTCAGCAGATACAGGGGTTCCACAGGTAACTATTTGAGGAGGCAAAATTGCCAGGGCAGAGGCACAAAGCAATTTTACCGGGCACAGAGCCCATCAGGAGGGGGCACCACAAAGCAGCAAGGGGCTCCCGTGTGCATCCCTCGGGAACAGGGCTCATCCCGGCCGATGCACAGCAGCGCATGACCCCCCCTTCTCTCCAAAACCTGTACCTTGTGCTAGGTGTTTGTGTGCCAGGAGACCAGAGCAGCTCTGCAACAGGTCACTCTGAGGCTATGCAATCTCCATCCTCGGAGATTTTCAATACCAACTAGAGCTGCAGCCAACCTGGTTCAGTGCTGGAAACAATGCTGCTTTGAGCTTTTCCAGCTTTGATCTTTCTCATTTCTTTTATCTGAACCCCTAAGGGAGCTAGATGACCTTATAGAGCACACAGGGAAAAAAATAAAAAACAACCCATGCTCAATGAAATTAAGACTTTTTTTAAAAAAAGAACATAAGTTGCTATCATGCTTAAGGAAAAAATGGTGACTAAGATTTCTACAGTAACATCTTATTCCCAGCCTCCTTGAAACAGTGCAAACAGCACTTCTCATCCAATCATGTTCAAATCAGAACAATACTGACCAATCTGGAACAGAAAGCACGTGGCTGAATAATTATAAAATTAAGCTTAGCAGTTATCCCAAACCATTCCACCTTTCTGACAGGCCAGTAACAAACTGTCCATAAAGCACCACCATACTTGAATTCACCAGAAAGACAATGCAAGGGGGGAGGGAGTCACTGACCTAGCTTCCATTTTCTGTTCTCTGAACTGTGCCATTCCATGACACAAATTGCTCCAGAAATGCTAATAAACAAGCAGCCCCTAAGAGTATTGACACACACAATGAAATGGGACAATAGCTGGCTACTATATCGAGCATGCTCTTGCTTTCCTTTTCAATACAGCAGCCTACTGATTTGATCCATTGGTGCCATATTAGTTAAGTGCATCCAGTATATCCATTCCTGTAGCACTTCAGTCAAACTGGCTTGCAGGGTCATTTACCCATCTTAAATGCAAGGACCAGATTCTAGCATGGGCTGTGCAACAGTTGACACACACATTGGACACACACATCCATGAGCTACAAAAAGCAACAGTAAAACCTGCTACCAGCACATCTACAAAACCTACCAGGCCTCCTTTCCAACACTGCCACCCAGCAAGTGCATAGCCCTCATTTATCAGAGATGTGAGTTCTGGCTTTAGCTCTAATTTCTGTGCATATGAAGCACATAAGGTTAATCATCAAGTGAACAACTGAACTAAGATTTTCCTAGACATCTTTAAGGCTTTAGTTGATCTCAGGTTTTAGCTGGTCAGCAGGCAATATTTGCATGCAGAGACCTGAATTGCTCCTAAGGCAAGCACTGTACAGTGCTCCCTCAGTGTCATGTAAGTAATCCAATTCTTCCAGTCATTCAGGCTGATAATGCAAACAGCCAGCCCGATGGCCTATTTTCTTCAGAGGAGTTCAACAATGCCTTTTCAGGACAGACACAAAACTATGTACATTACTTCCTAATTGCCAGTGCAACTGAAAGAGAAAAACACTTGTTCTCCATCTCTTACTGGCACAAATCAGCTCTGTGTGGTAAGAATATCCTGAAGGATAGAAAATGCACCTCCTTTCAAAGAGAACACTGGATCTTATTTTGTCCCTGACACAGTACTGGTACAGTAAGGCTACAACACACGTTATCTCAAGGCATTATTCTACTACAACAACAACAACAGCCATCACATAAGTCTACAAGCAATTGGAACAGAGATCTGACTGGACTGTGACAATGAAAGCAAAGGGCACGACACTTCTTAGAGACATCATAGCTAAATGGAGCACCGTTCAGACCTTTTCAAACCCTGTATCATCAGGTTGCAGTGAAACAGCTACCCATTATTCCTCATGCTACTTTTCTGTCATGTAACTGGACACCAACAGCCAGTTTATCTGGTTGCTAGTCTGAAAGCAACAGTCATAGGTTGTTTATTTTTGCATTTACTACAACTTAACACAGCACTTAACTTTAGGTTTAAAAGACCTTGGCATCTTAGTCCACAAAAATATTCTTTCTTACAAAAATCCAAGGTAAGAGCTCATAACTTTGTTGTGAAAGCAAAAGTTCAGCTAAACTGCATTTCTGGTGCCCCTCCCAAATGTTATGAAGAAAGAGGGCAGTAGCTTCTTTGAAGGACAAGTTACTCAGAAGCCCAGCCAAGCACAGATGATTTCTGGATCAAAGCTTGAAGAGACTTCTGATGTTATCATTTACTGCTATGAAATGCTACTTTAACCTAAAATCAGCATAATAGGACTGCTGCCTTGTAACTCAATTGCAGTCACATTATCAGACTCAAGCATATGAAATGAAGAATGGATAGAAATTCAGCATATAACAGTTCTTAAGCACAGCATTACATGCTTCATTTCAAAGGACTAATAATGAACTTCAGCTGTCAGATAATACGCAACTTCAGCTGTCAGATTTTAGCTTCAAAATTCAAAATAGAAGTTTAAACACTAATATGAGAACTAGAAGCTTTTAAAGAAAAGGCACACCAGATTCACACAATTCTAGCAGTTATTTCTCAAAAACAAAGACTCCAAATGTTGCCAAGTCTGAGCAGGAAGACTGATGGGAATTGCAAAGAGTTTTCAATGCTATTTTGAAAACCAATCCTATTTCAGTGTGTAGGTCTGATATAAATAAGCTAACAGATATTGCACAGGAAAGCCAGAAAAAAAATTGCCCTGCCATTTAGATCACTTTAAATGTCACTGTCTGTCATTTAAAAAGCAACAAATAACCACAAGATACCCCTGTACTGTTGGCCAAATGTTGCCGAAGACGAGGCATTAAGTGGTTAAGAAAAGTAGGTGTGGAGAGTGCATTTAAGGTTACAAACCAAAATGAGGCAAGTAAAGAGTAAGAGCTCCAGGGACCCAGAACACTACAAGACAAACACTGAAATAGCAACAAATGAATATACTGCAAAAATGCAGTAGCACCTTCTTACTTCCAGCGTTAGAAGTGATACAGATATGCAATTTTGACACTCTTCAGTGCATTTATCAATAGTGTCCGCAATACTTTATTTTGCGTTCCAGGTCCCCCTTCAGAGTGCAACTACTTGTTCTGGATTTTGCTCTGATGTCTCTCTTGCCTCTCCATATGGAAGGTGCTACTGCCACAATTCTAATTTCTCTTTTCTCCTTCATCTCTACCTGTTTCTTCAATGCATTTTTGCATTTTGTCATGCCTAATAAAAGGAAGTTGAGAGCTTTTCACTAAGCTTTTTGCAGAAGTTTAATACCAGTTTTAAATCACCTGTCTCAAGGAAGACACAACCTCATCTTCAGTTCTCATATGTTTAACAGTCATCTGTCACACTCTGCAGTCTGTAAGTGGCTACTTTGAAGGCTTCTGTACAAGCCAAGGTACCCTTCTGTCACAACTGGCATAATTAGCTACTGTGGAAGGACTGGAAGTTTTCTCCTTTCCCCAAACTGTTTTAATTTGCTTCAGCTGTGCAGAACTGGAAAAGAGACAGTATCACTATGTTCAAAACTACAATATGAGATACTACAAGTTGATACACCAAGATTGACTACGAAACTAAATTGACATTTTTTAAAATTTGAAGTTGGTTCATGGACCTCCAGTTGTTAAAAATCCCATAATTTAAAAACCTACAAGACCACTTGACCCAAGTGCCTCTGAGCAGTAACCTTTCATTTCCATTGATTGTATCAAACAAAATAAATTAATAATTGAAACAGAACAAGTTGGATATTGAATTTGGGCTGTGTGAGTATACTTTTGGTCAGCAGGTCAACTAATGTTGCCAGAGAGAAACATACAAGTACTGAAAGAGAACACAGGTGAAGCAAACATTTCAGAATAAAGCTCAAACTTTTTCATGAGGGATCAGAAGGGCACAAGTGGCTTGGAAAAACAGCTTGACCGAAAGAACACAAGCAAAGCCAAAAGTCTTCATCTGAAAGCCCCTTTACTTTCCTGCTCCTTAGTTCCTGAAAACCAAAGGAAAAGAATCTTTAACCTAAAATCAATTTCTCTTCTGCTTTTCTACCAATACAAACAATCCTGTTCTTTAATAAAAAAATACGTATTTTCTTTAAAGGTGTAAACCATTATAGGATTAAAATAAATTTTAAAAGTGCCAGCTATTCACAGAGGAAAGGGTCAGCTTTGTCAACTGCCACAGCCTGGTCACTCATTAGCACTCAGAACCAAAAGCCAAGAAATGAAACAGATCTATTTCTTCTTCTGTGTCAGTTGTGGCATTGATTAATTCATTGGCTCCTCCTTCTGAAAAGGCATGTATAGGCATGGCTTCTTTTATGGAGGCAAACAAGAATTAACATGCACTAACTCAGGAAGGAGCTGTAATGAAAACCATTTGTTGCATTCCAAACATTCAAGCGTTGCCATGGAAAAGAATTCAGCAAGATTTGTCTTCCTTTAATTCTCTAATTCCAACAGCTCTTATGGTCAGTATGCTGAATTTAGCCCTTTTCTGTAATTTCATTCAATCAAAATGTAATGTTCACTTGGCTGCCTGCTGCTATAAACAGATTCTTGTTGGTAAGGCTTCAGCTGAGGCACACAGCAACAATGCACTGCTGCAACCCATATGGATGAAGGAAG